CGAGTTTGCAGAACAGGCGGGCTCTTGACTGCTGCACTGCCTGCACATCTGCATGACCTCTAAAGGAACTGGGCTTCGGCGCTGGGAGGCTGCGCCCCAGGGGCAGCCCTGCAATGTTGAGAGGCAGGCAGGCATCAAGTCAGGGAGAGGGGGCAGAGGGAACACTTGGGGTGTCCCCTAGGCACCCCGCTGTGAAGGTTGGGGGAGGGGTCCTAGGATTCCCAGCCTGTGCCTGCTGGTTCCCAGGAGGCTCGACGCTGTTTGTTGAGACGTCCCCTCGGCGGCCCCGCGATAAGGATGGTAAGGGGGACAAGGATGGAAGCCTGGAGGTGACAGGCCAGCTGGGGGACGTGATGAAGGAGAGCGCTCGCATCGCCTACACCTTCGCCAGGGCCTTCCTGATGCAGCACGAGCCCAGCAATGATTACCTGGTGACCTCCCACATCCACCTGCACGTGCCCGAGGTGAGGACCCGCCTGGCAGCCCGGTCCCTGGTCCCCTTCCCCGGGCTGTGCCCACCTCTCATCCAGCCTGCCCACACCCCCACCCGCATCTTCCCACCAGGGTGCGACCCCCAAGGATGGCCCGAGCGCCGGCTGCACCATCGTCACGGCCCTGCTCTCTCTAGCCATGGACCGGCCCGTGCGGCCAAATCTGGCCATGACAGGCGAGGTGTCCCTCACTGGCAAGATCCTGCCAGTGGGTGGCATCAAGGAGAAGACCATCGCGGTGAGTCTCACCCCCTCCGCCCCGGGGTGGATCTAGACTAGAGGGTCCCCAGGAGGCACTGTGTCCTTGCAGAGCTGGTGTAGGCCTCAAGCAGGCAGGGAGAGTACCGGCCCCTTACAGACTAGGGTTTGGGTCCGTGTTGAGCAGAGTGTCCAGCTGTTCCGCTCTGCAGTGGTCTTTGTCTCTCCAAGATTTCCCATCTTGGCTGCTTTCAACCTAGCAGGGCTTTCTGCTTCCTCAGCCAAGCACCAAGGATGGCAGAGGCAGAAAAAGCACAAGAGTCTGGCCTGGGAGTGCGAGGCCTGGCCTTGGCCAGTTAGTCCTGTGCGTCTCCCTCAGTGCTGGGACTCCTGTACCTGTGTCCAACCCGAGATCCCGAACTCCTGAAACCTGGACCCCCCCATCCGTCCCTTGACCTGCCCACTAGGCAGAGATCACATCTGGGGACTTCAGAGGCTCTATACACCGTGCTTTCCCCTCTTGTGAAGTGGAAGAGGAAATAAGCCCACATTCGCTGTGTCCCTGGATGGTGCCTGGTGGCCAGTGGGAACCATTGTCCCCCAGGGGGTAGTCCGGCAGCAGCAGGGTGAAATGGGGGCTGGTGGCTGGACACAGACCAGCATCCAGAGCTCACAGGTGCTCACTCGGGCTGCGCAGTAAGGCTGTGGCTTGCTGTAACGCAGTTGGTGTTCAGATCCTGTTTACTTGTAGCTGCCAAAATGCTTAACTGGCTCCGGTTACAGTCATCGGTTAAAACCGGGGCTTCTGTGGGAGCAGGCCGCTGGAACGGAGGCCAGGGATGGCGCTGGGCTTCCGATTCCTCAGCTGCGAAGCCGGTGTGAAGGGGCGGCCCACGGGGCACAGCCCTGTCCCACAGCCCTTGCATTCGCCCTCCGGTCCTCCCTCCCAGGCAAAGCGAGCTGGGGTGACCTGCATCGTCCTGCCGGCCGAGAACAAGAAGGACTTCTACGACCTGGCTGCCTTCATCACGGAGGGCCTGGAGGTGCACTTCGTGGAGCACTACCGAGAGATCTTCACCATCGCCTTCCCTGAGGAGCAGCCAGAGGCCCGGGCCGTGGAACGGTGACGGCACCCGGCTCGGACAGGCCCGTTTGGGCCAAGCAGGCACTGGACCAGGAGCTCTGGGCCGCTGAGCCCTCCGGAGGCCCTGCAGAGGCCCGAGGCGAAGGGCATAGCGACGGCTTAATCACGGCGCCCCGCGCGGATGATGAACTATTTAATTATGATTAAAACGCCTTCCCAGGACTGCTCGCCTGCTTGTTCTGTGCCCTGGCGCCTGCCCCTCCCCAGTGCGCCGCGCGAGGACTCCCCCGCCTTCCTCACACCAGCACGACACCACCCCGAGTTCCAAAAAAAACGCTTTATTACACACACCAGCGGGGGGCTCAGTCCTTCTTGGCCGCCGCTTTCCTCATGGCGGCGAGGACGTTGCTCAGCTCCTCTCGCTTCCTCTTGGCGCGGATGTGCGTCCCCACCTGCCGGGCAGGGAGCGCGCTCAGTCGGGGAGTCGGGGACCCGGGACCCCGAGCCCCGGCCCGGCGACCCCGCACCTACCCTTTTCTTGATGAACTTGAGGGCGCGCTTGTCCTTGGACACTTTGAGCAGCTCCATGGCCCGCCGCTCGTAGGGGGCGAAGCCGCACACCTCCCGGATCATGTCCCGCACGAACTTGGTGTGCTTGGTGAGGCGCTGCGGGGCGGGGGGCGCTCAGAGCCGGGGCCGCCCGCGGTCCGCGGTCCTCGGTCCCGTGCGCCCGGCCTCGCCCCTGCGTCCGGGCGCGCCCCGCTGGCCGCTCCCCGCGTAGGCTATTCCCAGGGGTGTCCGCCCTCGGCCGGGGCCGAGCCCTGCACCCCCCGCCGCTCTCCCCATCGCCGGGGCCGTGCCTTCTGCCAACGCGGCCCCCGACGGCGCGCGCCCGCACTCACCCCGCGGCGGCGGCTGTGCCTTGGCTTGCTCACGTTCTTGGTCACTTTGTGGCCCTTGTTGAGGCCCACGGCCATAGGGTAGCGCAGAGCCATGGCTGCGGACGGAAGCGGAGAGGGACGTGGGGCTGAGTCCGGGCTCGGCCCCCGCCGCCCGGAACCTCGCGTCCCGACTCCCCGGGGCTCGCTCGCGGCGCCCAGCCGTAGCCCGGAGCCGCGCCGGCGCCCCGGAGCCCGGATGGCAGCAGATACCAGTCGCCCGGCGCCCCACTAACCTGCAGCTCCTCAATGGCTCCCGCGGCGGAAGGGATGTCGCCTCGCGGAACTCTGGGATTTCTAGCTTCCGCGGGTCGAGCGGGCCAGAGCGGCAGAAACCCCGCGGGCTCCCCCTGGCGGCTGGAGGCCCTGCGGTTCTCTTCCCCGCCGCCCGCGCGCGCCCCCCCCCATGCGCATGCGCAAACCGTCTCCCTGTGCACGCGCGCTCAGTACCAAAATTAGCCTTAGCCGGAGTTGCTGTGGCTTCGTTTGCGGATGGCTTGAGTGTTCGAGTCCTACTTCTGCAGCTTGCTGGCTGAAATTCCACCTACGCTGGGGGCTTGCGGACTCGGCGCCAGGGACTTCAGCTCCTGTACTTGGATTTCCTCATGTATAGAATGAAAATAGTAAGGGCCGCCCGGGTGGCTCAGTCGGTTAAGCATCTTCTTTCGGCTCAGGTCTTGCTCCCAGAGTCCTGGGATGGAGGCCCGCATGGGGCTCCCTGCTCATAGGAGCCTGCTTCTCCCTCTCCCTGGTCGTGCTCTCTCTTAAATAAATAAACATCTTTTTTTTAAAAAGTCTTTATTAGAATGAGGACAATAATAGCACTTATTCCGAACTGTTTGAATAAGATATAATGATACGTGACACAAAATAAAACTTCCATAAATAGGTATTGGCTTCATTCTATAGGACACCAAACTCTTATGTTAGAACTGAAGAGGGCGATTTGGTATAGAACCCCCTGACGGCGTTTGATATAAGTTTAGGTCGTTGTAGGGACAGGAGGTGTGGTAGAAAAGAAACAAACAGAAACCACTTTTTTTTTTTTTATGATTTTATTTATTTGACAGAGATCACAAGTAGGCAGAGAGGCAGGCGGGAAGGGGAGTGGAGGCAGGCTCCCCTCTGAGCAGAGAGCCTGATTGCGGGCTGATCCCAGGACCCCAAGATCATGACGGGAGCCTAAGGCAGAGGCTCAACCCACTGAGCCACCCAGGCACCCTTATCTTTTAATCCTACTCATCCCCCAAATGATGGTCCCCATTTGGGGCTAGTCTGGGGTTAACCCTTCTAACACTTGCTAATTCTAGAGCCTTCCACTGCCAACAATAACTAGCATTTTGTAATGTTGTATTCATCCTACAGTTGTCGTCTGTAGAGTTGTTTTTTCTTTATGCAAACCACACTAACTTATCATCTTAGAAGAACTATTCATTTTTCACTAATTGACGTAAATATCTGTGATGTGCAGATAGAAGTAGCCCACACTTTGTTTAAAGTCCCTTGTCAGAATCCTACCTCCTGCGACCGACTTCCTCCCTCTCTCTCTTTTTATTTATTTATTTATTTATTTATTTAATTTTATTTATTTGACAGAGAGAGATCACAAGGAGGCTGAGAGGCAGGCAGAGAGAGAGAGAGGGAAGCAGGCTCCCCGCTGAGCAGAGAGCCCAATGCAGGGCTTGATCCCAGGACTCTGGGATCATGACCTGAGCTGAAGGCAGAGGCTTAACCCACTGAGCCACCCAGGCGCTCCCCTCTCTCTCTTTTTAAAAGATATTATTTATTTATTAATTTGAGACAGAGAGAGAGCACAAGTAGAGAGGAGGATCAGAGGGAGAGGGAGAAGCAGACTTCCCAGTGAGCAGAAGCCCAATGTGGGGCTCCATCCCAGGACCCTGGGGATCACAACCTGAGCTGAAGGCAGACACTTAACCGACTGAGCCCCAAGACGCCCCTTCCTACCTCTCTCTCAGCACATTTCTTTATCTATAAAATGGAAACAATGGTAGCACCAACTTCCAGTTGTGAAGATGCCACGAGACCACTCATGTCAAGGGCTCAGTGCCTGATACACGTTTTCATCATCATCGGCACAAAACCCACGTATTTTACACTGCAGATAAGGCCTTTGGCCCACTGACTCTGTACCTTTTCTTTGAGCCCTGACCTCCTGGGGTAGATCTACCCCTCTCAGCTTCCACTTCTCCACTGGCAAATAGGGTGGAGAAGTCCCTCTTTACCCACCGCCCACCAGCAAACTGGAGAAACAAAGCACCGTGAACAACCTACGAACAAGGGAAGAAGGGTTTTATTATGAAACAGAAGGCTGGGTCCAGCCCAGAACACATTCTTTCCGGCCTACCCTGCCTTAGACCCCGTGGGCAGGTGGTCAGTTTGAAGGCTGTCCCCTGCTTGGGGCAAGGGTAGGGGGACGCTCCAAGGCTGAGCGAGTGCAAAGAGGAGATCAGAGATGCCCTGGTTCCAAGTGGGAGATGGACAGGGTTCCCAGGTCTCAGGGGTCTAGGCAAGTCACGCCACCTCTCTGAGCCTTATTTTTCTCATCTGCAAAATGGAAGCAGCAACTGTGTCACCGAGGGTGGCCCAGAAGACAGAGGTAACGCTTTTCAAGTTGCTGCCTGGCCCACCATTAGCACTTGCACACCCGCAGCTGGGGCTGTTTCCAGGGGCTGGTAGTTTTTCTTGATTGTCCTTTTCTGTCTTGATGACTCTGTCCTGAGCCACGGCCACCAGCTCAGAGGTGTCTCGGTTTGTGTCACCGCTCCGGGGCGGCTGGATGGAGGGTTCCCCTCTGGAAGGATGAGGGCCACCCCCGGGAGCTCAGGCAGCAGCGGCAGCCGAGACATTGAGCTCCTGGCGGACGAACCAGGCCCTCGGGTGCGGCAGCCATCCGCGCAGCAGACAGAGCAGGTGGAAGCGCCACGGGTAGAAGACGCCCGGGGCGCGGGTGGCGCCGCCGCGGATCACCGCCAGGGCTGCCTTGGGCCCTGGGGCCGCCTTGGCCCTCGAGACGCCCCTGCGGACGGGAGGATGCGGTGGAGACTGCAGGCGGGCGGCCCCCCAGGGCCCCCCTCCCGCCCCTGATGGCCCTGGGGCCTCACCTGAATCCCTCGGCGGTCGAGGCGCGATCCCGGAGGCCCAGGACGCACATGGTGATGGCCACGTTCACGTCCTGCACGTCCAGCTCCCGCCGGAGAGAGCCGAAGAAGCCGTCCAGCGCGAACTTGGCCGCCGAGTACGGGCTGGAGAAGGATGTGGGCACAGGGCCTAGGAGCGCGGGAGGGCACCCCTGAGCTCCCTCTCCTCCAGGCAGCCTTCCTGCCCTCTCCAGGCTCTCCCGCCTCGAGCCCTGTGGCCTCCCGACTCCCCGCCCCACGGGCCCTCACCGAGCAGCGAGGACACGACCACCAGAGAGCCTTTGCTGTCCGTCAGGCTGGGCAGCGCCAACGAAGTCAGCTGCACGTAACTCAGGAAGTTCACCTGGAGGCGGTGGCGACTCCGAGTCACCGCATCGCGGACAAACGCCTGCCCGGGAGGGGCGGGGCCTGGCGGCGGTGGGCGGGGCCTGGGAGGGGCCGGACCTGGGGTGGGAATTGGGAGGGGCGGAGGGTGCAGCCTGGGGATAGCAGGGGTGAGGCGCTGGGCGCGGCGGGGCGGGGCACCTGCAGGAGCCAGCGGGTCGCCTGGACGCTCCGGGGCCGCGTGCTTGCCGGGGTGGCGCCGAGGTGATTCAGCACGAGGTAGTCCAGCCCTCCTGGCCCGGAGACGCCCATCAGCAAGGAGCTAGTCCTTAAGGCCCCGCCCCGGCCCCGAAGAGACCCCGCCCCTGGCCCCGTTACGTTGAACTAGAGAAGCTGGGGCCAGAGCACTGAGCCAGTGAGTTCCGCCCCGGGTAGCTCCCCGCCTAATATCAAAGAGACCAGGCCCTACTCCCCGGATCTTGCCAGGTTTCGTCCCTGATCCAATAAGGCCCAGTCCAGAGCAATAAGGCCCAGTCCAGAGTTCCGCTCTCTGGAGGCAATGAGGTCCCACCCCTAGCCACGCCCCAGACAGCATAGTCCTCCCCCCACCAACTACCCCGGCCCCACCGCTTTCGGATCCTGCCCTTAAGGCCTAGGCCGGGGGACCAGAGCCCAGGCCCACCCCTCACCCAGCTTGTCCAGCGCAAACTGCACCACGCGCTCGGGCACCTCGGGGGAGGCCATGTCCGCAGCGATGAAGAAGACCTTGGGAGCGCCCAGTTTCTGGCAGTTCCCCACCACCTGAAGGGGGTATGGGGCAGAGCTACCCATGGGCCGTCCACGGGGGCTGGGCCCCTCCACCTGCTAGACCATTGGGGCCCTACCCTCAAGCCCCCTCCCCGACTTTGAGCTCCAAGTAATATTCGACATTTTCCCCAAGCGCTGCCACTGGGGTCACAAACTGGCAGCCTGGGGACCCAAATCGGGCACATTTTATTTGCTCAATATCAACATTTAAAACTCAGGAAATTTCATATAAATCTCGACAGTTCTGGCCTTTCTAGAAATTTTGCAAGGCTTGTCCCAAAGGACTGTACATCTCTGTGGAGCCAGGATGCGCTGCTGCTAAGGAGTGTCCACCCACCCCTCTTTTGAGAACCCTGGCTGTTGGCACGGGCTTTGGACACCACCAATAATCCCATTTTTAAGGTACACTCCCTGTTTTACACTCACTGTCTTAATGGATCAACCCAACGCTGTAACCGGTGAGAAGGTACTTTTGTGGTCTCTGGCTTGCAAAAGTGGAAACTAAGGCTCAGGGGCTAAGCTACGCCCTTAAGGCCACCCAGCGGGCCTGGATCTTGGCAAGGAAGGGCCCTGTTTTCCAGCCACTCCCCACCACCACTCAGCTGGAAATGGGCTGTCTCACCTTCTGCAGGAGGGCCTCGGTGTGGGCTGTGAGCACCAGGTGGGAGCCCAGGCGGGCATAGTGATAAGCCAGCTCCTCCCCAACGCCGGCACTGGCCCCAGTCAGCAGCACTCGGGCTCCCTGGAGGCTAGCTAGCAGGGCGCAGGGGTGGTCAACCCGAAGGGAGGCGGGCGGCACCGGACGGCTGGCCCGATTCCTCCCTCCCCCACCTCCAGGCACTCACCAGGGTCGAAGTTGTCATCCCAGTAGTAGGAGAAGAACAGGGCCCCCAGCCCGGTGAGAAGCAGAACCTTCATGGCCCACCCTGGGTCTGTAGGTTCTGCAGCGGGAGAGAGGACGGCGGGCAGGGACCTGGCCCACAGCCATCCCCATTCCCCCAACGAGGCCCTTGTTTGATGAAGATGCTCCGGGCCCTGCCCTCTCTCCTCCATCTCGCAGCCACCACCTGGTCCAGGGCACCACACAGCTTTCCCTGGGCCTCTTCAGGGATTTCTCCCTCCGCCAGGCAGCCAAATTACATCTTGCCTCCCCATTTCATTGAGGACAAAAGCCAGGCTCCTTGATGGTCAAAAGGGCCTTGCAGCAGGGACCAGCCCTTCCGGCCCACTCCGCTGTTTGCCACGCCCAGCCTCTTCAGGGTTTCTCAGAACCAGCCAGTCTCCAGCCAGCCTCAGGGCCTTTGCATTGGCTGTTGCCTCTGCCGGGAATGCTCTTCCCAAATAGAACCTAATGAGTTGCTCTCTCACTTCTTGAAGTCAGCACCAAACGGACCTTCTCCAAGGGAAATTCCCTAGTCTCCTTCTCTAAAGCGACTCCTGGTCCCTGTCCCTCCCTGGCCTCGGTCTACAACTTCTTGACATGACCTGAAATTATCCTGATGAGTTGTTACATGTTCACTATCCCTCTCTCCTCCCAGACTGTCAGCTCCAGGAGGTGAGAAGGAAATGGAAACCTGGAGCTGCTTGGTTCACTGTCAGGTCCTCGGGGCGACAAATGGTGCCAGCCATGCTGTAGGTGCTCAGCAGATACCAGACTAACCCTGAGACCCGGAGTGATACGAGGAACACTGGAGGGAAGCGTTAGGAGCAGGGGGCAGGAGGTACAGAAAGACGGCTCTGTCCGGAGACACCCAGAAGGAATCTTGGGGCTCGGTAGGAGACACAGGAGTAGTATCAGTGGGATTAAGATGTGACTTGAGCTGTGGGAGTGGATTTACTTGTTCCAGGGAGAAGGTGAAAGAGAGAAATGGGCCAAATGCTTAACATTGGTGGGGGGCGGGGGCATTCATGAATCTTCCCTGAGAAAGGCACAGGCCCATCACATCTTGGGGTTTCTGTCCTCTGAACTCAGTAGGACAAAGAGGAGAGGGAGACTTCCACAACTGAGAGATGGTGGGGTTGGGTTGTCTTGAGGTCTCTAAATTAGGTCTCAGTCCTTTGCCCCCTATTGCAAAGTTCCAGCTGCCTCTCCCCTGCCTCCCCTACCCTCCTACTCCCTTCCTTCCACCCTATGCTTTTCGGGCAGCCAAAGGGATCTTCCAAAGAAATCTAATGTTTCCCTTCCTGCTCCAAACCGTGTTAGGGTTCGCCACTGCCCCCCCATGGAGACGAAGCTCCTCACCTCAGTGCCTCGCGGGTCTGGCCCAGGCTCACCGGTCCAATCTCATCTTCCACCATTACCGTCTATGAATCTTTCTCAGCTCTCAGAAAGGTGAGCTCCTCGCTCCTCCCCAGTCATGGCAGCCATCCCACCTCTCCCCACTTTGCAGGGGAAGCCGGTGGAGCCCCGCAACTTGACCCTCTTCCCACCTTGACCACAGCAGCCACGCAGGGCAAGGTGGGGTCGGGCGGATGAATGGCTGGCCGGCCGTCTGGGTGGATAGATGGAGGGATGGAGGGATGGAGGAAGGGATGAAGCGGCCGCCGGCGACCGGGGAGGGCGTGGGAGAAGCAGACCCTTGCAGAACGTACTGGTCCCCTGACCTCGCCAGGCCTTAGTTTCCCCTCTGGACAAAAAAGGTGTACGACATGCTGCGCGCTCCCAATCTCGCACTCACCCGCTCGGGCCTCAGGTTCTCTCGCAGTCCAGCGGGGCTGGATCCGGACCTGGGAACCCGGCGCGCACCCCTCGGAGATCCCTAAGCGGCCGCGTCCGGCCGGGCCCCCGACCGCACCCCCGACCGCGCCCCCTCCCGTAGGGCCCAGGTCACGTGACACCGAGCCCACCTCCTCAGGGGGCGGGCCAAGCTACGAGAACTTCGTGACCGGGCGTTGCCCGGCAACGGCCTTCCACCGGGCTAGCCCCCTCCCGGCACGGGTCCTGATCCCGGTCCCGCCCCCTCGATGAAAGCCCCACCCCGGATCAGATCACGTGATCCAGGCACCGCCTCCCTCGCACAATTCCGACCCCGCGTTGCCATGACAACAATGTTATCGGTACCCTCTTCCTGGGCCTGGGCCCTCAGTCCCCCGCGCGGGCGCGGGTGGATCTCCCGGGCTCCGAAATCTTCTTGGGTCACTTTCAGGTCTCACTCTAGACGCCTCTTTCTCCCCCACGCCCTCCGGGCGGTGCCAGGCCGGACTGCATTTCCCAGGAGCCTCGGCGGCGAGGCGGGCGGTGCTGACTCCATTTCCCAGGCAGCTTTGCGGCAGACGGGCTCTGAAGATCACTCCCCTCAGAATCCTTTCGATCCTTTTGCGGTGGGACTGCAGTCCCTCTTCTGGCGTCTCCGAGCCGTTGCGCGACTTCGACTCCCGCAGGCCTTTGCGACTCACCGGGGCGACTACACTTCCCACAGGCCACTGCGGCGCTGTCACCGGAAGCGGCGAGCGAGTCGAGTGTCCTTGCGCGCGGAGCCGAGCGACCATGGTTCCCCGATTGTGGTCGCTGATGAGGTGCGTCGGGCTGCAGGGCGGGCCCCGAGCCCCCGAGCAAGTCCCCTCCCGTGGGCACCCCCCTCTGGTTTGCTCCCAGCTGGATCTCCGAATTCCGTGGTGTCAGGTCCCGCGTCGCGCAGATGGGGAAACGGAGGTTCCGGCGGGGACGGCCTTCCCGAAATCGCTTGTCGCGCGTCCTTCCCGTCTCCCAGCGAGCCCTTGCCCCCTGATCGTGTCCGAGCGCCCTCGGAGCCCCAGTTGCCTCCTCTGTAAGGTGGGCATGTCACAGGCGCCGTATCAGGAAGCGACGTATGACACACAGGAAGCGACCAGGGCCACTCGGAAACCCCTCGAGGGTGGCGCGCAAGTCGGGCCTGCTGGGGTGGCAGGTAGAAAGCCAGGGCTCTCCCGTCTTCACGGTTTCCTGCTCTGTGCGGGATCACGAGCGACCCCTTTTCCTCTCGAGGCCTCAGTTTACCAGTTAAATGGGGCCGAGTAGCTCTGCTTTTTTTGTGCAGTGTGGATTGAGAGCTGTGCAGAGTAGGTGCCAGGCACGCCTCTGGGCTGGGGGTGGGGGGTGGCTCGTTCTGTCGTATGAGCTGCCTGGCCTCAGGTGTGTCACCCCTAGGGCTGGGGCGCCTGCGAGGCCGACTCCTCCCCGAGACTGGCCAGCTGGGCCTGAGGAGCTGCTGAGCGGCTGTCCTTCCCGACCACAGGTTCCTCATCAAGGGCAGTGTGGCCGGGGGTGCCGTCTACCTGGTGTATGACCAGGAGTTGCTGGGGCCGAGCGACAAGAGCCAGGCTGTCCTTCAGAAGGCTGAGGAGGTCGTGCCCCCAGCCATGTACCAGTTCAGCCAGTACGTGTGTGAGCAGACCGGTCTGAAGATGCCCCAGGTACCCTGAGGCTGGGAGTGAGGCTGAGGCTTGGTGGGAGGAGCGTGTCATTTCCTGCGTGGCTTTGGGTCCCTGGTCCCTCCAGCCCTGCTTGGTGTCCTCCGCCTTGGGCTTTGCGCTGCCCTTCCCTGCCTGGGGAGGCGGCTGGGGCTGCCGGCTGGACCCTCCCCTTTTCACCTGCCTCTTCTTGCCTCTCTTCCCAGCTCCCAGCCCCTCCAAAGTTTAACTTTCACATCCGCGACACCTGGAATTCAGGTAGGCCCTGGTCCCAGTGCTTGGGGGGTGGCCCCCGATACCCCCCAGTCTAGGACCCTCTACCACCCCTTGCTGCTCCGCGCAGCTCCCGTGGATCTAAAGAGGAAAAGAGGCAGAGATTTCAGGGATCCTCCTTTCAGGACGGGTCATCGTGTGACCTCAAGACAAGAGGAGGCCCTGCCCCACCTCTGCCTCAGTTTCCCTGTGTGGAACCGATGGAGCTGGAACGGGTGCCTCTAAAGGCCTTGCAGAGCTAGGGTTTCCGGGGCTCCGGTGTCGGTGGACTAAAGCCGGGGGCTGAAGGCGCTGGGCCCTCTCTTTCCACAGGCATCATTACGGTGATGTCAGCTCTGTCCGTGGCCCCCTCCAAGGCCCGCGAGTACTCCAAGGAGGGCTGGGAGTATCTGAAGGAGCGAAGCAAGTAGCCTGTCAGAAGAGGCCACCGCCCCGGTCAGGAACGGGGCAGGTACGCCACAGACCCGGAGACTCCAGACTGGGACTGGGACCCCACTGCAAGGGCAGCTCCCGGCCTTGCCGGCCCAATAAAGGACTCTGGAAGTGCTCCCCGCCCCATGTGCTGGCCCCGGGGACTTGGGCGGCCTGGCTGGTGCTCGGAGCACAGGGTTCCCGGGCTTCTGGCACCCAGCAGCTCCTCAGGCCATGGGTTCACCCTTCACTGTCCAGGGCCCTGCCTCCTGAGTCCCCAACCTGGTATGGGAATGGGGAGCAGACACTTGGCCCTGGTGCCCCATAGACTATGCTCAGGGCCCAGGAATGGGTTGGGGAAGTACTGATGGCCAGGCCAGGTTGGTGGGGGGGCTCTCAGCTCATGGAGGGCTGAGCCCAGAGTGGGGTTATTCTGGAGGTGGGGACTCGGGGTGGGCACAATTCATCTCTTCCCCGTCTACATGGCCAGGAGTTCCTGTGGCCGCTGAGTCTCCCATCTGGCTCAGCTCAGTGATGCCCGTGTGTCGTCTCGTCTTGACCCTCCCTTGCCTGCTCTACCCACAGTCCACCCTCCCCACCGTCTAGGGATTCCTGGGACCACAGGCTTCGTGGTCACTAGTGGGTGGGGGGGGGCTCCCCTACCCTCAAATGTCCTGCCCTCCCAGCTTCCCCTGCTCCCCTGGGAAGGCATTCCCACCCCACCCTGGGTCAGCTGCCTGGTGACCTAATGTTCCTCCCCACCGTGCTGAAGTGCCCGGTGGGTGGGCCCTGGGCATACTCGCAGCCAGGAGGGCATCCCACCATGATGGCAGTGGGAGGAAACCCGTGTCCCAGACAGACGGACTGTAGAAAGTGGCTTGGCTGGAACCTGGAGACTCACCCAAGACGCCTCTCTGGGAGCTCGGAGCAGGCCTGGGCGACAGGGCCCTGAGCGGGCAATGGGATCCTCTGTTCCTAAGAGTTCTGGGGGTTATGTTTCTTGGTTTGGGGGACAGCTCACTGAAGCCCCGGAGCTAGGATGGTAGCTTCCAGTGAGGAAAGCAGAGACCAGAAGCCAAGACATCGTCCAAGGCGCTCCCTGGGAGGAGTCCCTGGTGTGTGTCCAAGGGAGGTGTGGGGAGGCGTGTGGGGGAGGACAGGTGGCCTGACCGGCAGTGTTTGGGGAGGCAGAGCCCAGAGTGACCTGTGTCACTGTGCTCTCCAGGAACAGTCTCTGGGTGGATCTCCCATGTCTGCTGTGGCACCTGGTGGCCACCTGGCTCCCTGTGCCACCCCTGCCTGCTCATGGCCCCAGGGCAGCACTCACTGTCCCCAAGCACTGTTTGATTGTACCGTTGGTGCCCACCAGCTCGCACTGCTTTCTGGATGGCTCTCAGCCTCCCAGGTGTTTTGGGGCTCGGTTGATGGAGGGTAGCCTTTGCCCACATGGACCCAGCCACTAGCCCAGAGACTATGGTGCCATTCTTTTTTTTTTTTTTAAGATTTTATTTGTCAGAGACAGAGGGAGAGAGAGTGAGCGAGCATAGGCAGACAGGCAGGCAGAGGCAGAGGGAGAAGCAGGCTCCCCGCCGAGCAAGGAGCCCGATGTGGGACTCGATCCCAGGACGCTGGGATCATGACCTGAGCCGAAGGCAGCCGCTTAACCAACTGAGCCACCCAGGCGCCCCATATGGTGCCATTCTTGACCCCTCCATTCCCTTGTGCAGTCAGACCCAAATTCCTCTGTCCACTTGAATCCGTCACCAGTGCCAAGGCCACCTCCCTGGTCTTCTGCCTGCCCCTTCCATCTGCTTCCCCAGGTCCAAGTCTGATCATGTCACTGCCCTAGTCGCCACTGGCCTTGGCACAGCACTCCCGCACCCTCTCACTTGGCCGTCCTGACTCCTGCTCGTTTTGCCCACGGCTCAGCCACGGCCTCTGGAAAGCCTCCCTTTGGGCCTCCCGACCGCCCCATGGGTGGTCCCTTCAAGGCAGGAGCCCCCCACCTCAGCAACACACAGGCTGAGGACCAACCCCAGAACACCAACAGCACCCTGTCCCCCTACTCGGGACAGTTCCAGATGTCTCCAAGGGTTGGCAGGTGTCTATCCTCTGAAGACAGTCATTCCAGCTGACCGCCACCGCCCTGGGAGGCTGTAGTAGTCCCGTGACAAAGGTCCACAGGTTCAGGGGCTTGAAACCACACACACGAATTATGTTACAGATCTGGAAGCCATTAGTCCAACACGGGTCCCCCTGGGCTAAGTGTGGGTGTGGACAGGGCTGGCTCTCTCTGGAGGCTCCGGGGAGTTACCGTTCCAGCCTCGTCCTGCTGCGAGAGGCCACTGCGGTCCTTGGCAAGAGAGCCTGTTCACCTTCAAAGCCAGCTAGTCTGCCTGTCCGTCCCTCCTCCGGCTCCCCCGCCTCACTGCTCCCCATAGAAGGACCCTAATGAGGACCCTGGGCCCACCTGGGCAACCTGGTTAACCCTCCATCTCCAGGTCCTTAACTGAATCCTGGCAGCAAAGCCCCTTCTGCCACGGTAGGTGCTGTGCGTACAGATTCTAGGGTTTAGGGCGGGGACCCCTCCGGGCCCGCCAGGAGGGGTTTATGTGGCCCACCACACGGTCTGAAGCCTGGGTCATGTGTCTGTCTGTCCCCAGACAGGAATGGACTCCTCTCTGATGTGACAAAGATGGAGCCCCACAGAGCAAGAGGCAGCAGGCCTCCCGGCCAGCACAGCTCCCCCAGACGGGCAGACGGGACTCCCTCCCAGGCACTAGCGGCACAGCCGCGGGGCCCCCGGAGACAGAGTCTGGCTGACCTGGGGAGGCAGTGCACGGCTGTCCAGTCTTACTCACTGGGATGCAGTTTCACGTAGCCCATCCCAGGAGTCAAAGCCCGATGCGGGGAGTCGACGTGGGGTGTGGGCGCAAGGGTGTGCGGACCGGGGACAGTTGGGGTCAGGAAAGATGGAAGGTTCTGCAGATGGGAAGTTGGTGACGGCTGCACAGCAGTGTGCAAATATGAATGCCACCGAGCTGTACGTGTAGACGTGGTCAGAATGGGAAATTCCATGTTCTGTGTATTTTACATTTAAAAAAAAAAAAAAAAAAGCACAGCGGCCCATCAGCAAGGACTGGGCGCGTCCTGGACACAGAGACAGAGCCTGGGGACAGAAACACTGGAGGTACAGCAAAGGGCCCAGGAGGGGGCGCTGTCAGCACACGGCTTCCGGAAACCCTAAGAGCCTTTTAAAGCTGCTCCTTCTGTGCTTTCCCGAAGGAACAGCCATGGCTCAGCAAGACCAAGTATAATTCACACAAGGAGATGAAATAAAGAGAGAAAACACTTTAAATAAAGGGTATGTGAACAGAAACACGTTTATTACAAAAAAAAAAAAAAAAAAACCAAAAAAAAAAAAAAGAACATAAAAACATTCACATTGTATTGAGCTACAATATGGCAGCAGATAAAAAAAATTATTGTACACAGTTTAAGATAACTCCTAACAGAACATACTCTTGTAGCCACGTGACAGAACACAGGGATCCGAGCACTCAGTAGCGGCGAGTGAAGCGGGTGTCGTTGGGTCGGCTCCCCCGGTTCTGTCCTCCAAAGCCCCCCTGCATTCCACCGCGTGGGATCACGTGGCCCCGCGACGCCCCACCTGGGGCGAAGCTGCCGCGCCTACGACCAACACAGATCCCGGGTCACGGAAGCCCATGCTGTGCACCCCCGCGTCTGCCCGGCCCGCACGGTTTCTAACCTCCCAGGCGAGCCACCATGCAGGGAGAAGACCGGTTAAGAGGGACAAGCAGCACGCGACACCTTACCCTGACATCCCTCCCCGGTTCATCATGTGACCCGGCCCAGAGTGACCAGACATACTTCTTTCGCCACCTACAAGAGATCCAATCCAGGCAGCACCTCAGCACGGCCCGTGGAGTTCGAAGGACACCAACGTGGGGCTCGTGGGGCTCCAGTCCCTTCCCTGAGCTACGGGGTCAACCAGAACCCACAGGTCCCAGCCGAAGCATCAGCACATGAACCGCACACACCCGCCGCCTTGCGTGAGTTGAGGCAGAGAAGTGAACCACACCTCCGTTTCCCCCTCCCCAGGTCCAGTCAGTGACCAACGAGACCCTGTGGCCTCGGGGAGAGCCGAGAAAGTTCTCCCTGCCAAGAAGCAGCTTGAGCTTTCCCGTGCTTCTCCAGAGACAGTCAGTCACGGCGGAGAGCCAGGCTTACCTTGCCACCTCTTGTGGTCCCTGTCTATCATGCCTCCGTCGGCGGCACCCTGCCACGCACGGTCGTCCTCTAGTCTTCGGCCATGGTCCCCCCAGTCACGTCTGCCCCTTGGAAAAGAGAGCTCTGATTTGGATTGCCCTCTCTGCCTTTCCGAGTAGCAGGGGTGGTGGGTTCAGCATGCTGTGTGCCCGGTGCCCATCCCTGAGTGGCGGCGGTCTGCGGGAGGCAGGACCCGGCTCCTGGTCCGAGGCTGCTCAGGGCTCTCAGGCGGCCCAAGCGAGGCCAGTGTGCTGGGGCGGGGCTGGCCCCCATCTTTCCCTCAGGCCGATGGTCCTGAGCTGGACACACCAACCGAGCCAGCAGTGTGAGGCCTGCGCAAGCGCGGCGCGGTGCAGGACACAAACCTGGGTGGAGGAGGCAGCCCCCGGCCCTCGCTCATCCTCTTGTCAGAGCCGTAGCCGCCCCACCCGTCGCGGGAGTCCCGCCCGTGGCGCTCTGGTCCTCCGTGGCGTTCGGGGTAATGCTGGATATTAAAGAACCAGGAGAAAAAGAAAGCTTTGGTACGGAGCCTGGCTCCCAAGGCCATTGGGGCAACAAGCTAATGAGGACAACAGCTCAGAAGTGCAGCTGAGCACTCAACACATGGCCTCGTGCCACACGGGTCTTTAGCCTGCGTGACCGCCACATCCCGTCTGCCCGTGGACCAGCGGGCAAAGTTGAAGAATGGAGTCACAGAATAGAGAAACTGAGGGCTGAGATTCGCCCTAATCCAAGTGGAGAGAACTTGGGCACCATGGAGAGAAGAGTGCCGGGCCTAGAGGCCGCCCTGCACCAAAAACACACAGCGCCTGTGCTCCGGTCCTGCAGAGCCACAGAACGAAAGAGCC